GTAGGAAGGAGCCAAGGAGTAGCAGTAGAAAGACAGCAGTAGGAAGGAGCCAAGGAGTAGCAGTAGAAAGACAGCAGTAGGAAGGAGCCAAGGAGTAGCAGTAGAAAGACAGCAGTAGGAAGGAGCCAAGGAGTAGCAGTAGAAAGACAGCAGTAAGAAGGAGCCAAGGAGTAGCAGTAGAAAGACAGCAGTAAGTAGGAGCCAAGGAGTAGCAGTAGAAAGACAGCAGTAAGAAGGAGCCAAGGAGTAGCAGTAGAAAGACAGCAGTAAGAAGGAGCCTAGGAGTAGCAGTAAAAAGGCTTCAGAAAGAAGGAGCCAAGGAGTAGCAGTAGAAAGACAGCAGTAAGAAGGAGCCAAGGAGTAGCAGTAGAAAGACAGCAGTAGGAAGGAGCCAAGGAGTAGCAGTAGAAAGACAGCAGTAAGAAGGAGCCAAGGAGTAGCAGTAGAAAGACAGCAGTAAGAAGGAGCCAAGGAGTAGCAGTAGAAAGACAGCAGTAAGAAGGAGCCAAGGAGTAGCAGTAGAAAGACAGCAGTAAGAAGGAGCCAAGGAGTAGCCATAGAAAGACAGCAGTAAGAAGGAGCCAAGGAGTAGCAGTAGAAAGGCTGCAGAAAGAGTCGGGAGACGAGAGGATGGGGCAAAGGAGGTGAGGGATGGGGGCAAAGGGGGGGGGGGAGGAGGAATATGGAACAGAATATGGATACAAAAGCAGATGACGGAATATGATTAGAGAGCAGGAAATGATGTGAAAGGAGAGTATTTTAGAAAAGGGCATTTTCCTTCGCTATCAGGTTTTGAACCTGGGACCTATTGAATGAGAGGAAACACTGTAACTTATAGACCATGACAGCCCCACTGCCAGATTTGTTTATATGTGAGGCTCGTGGTGAAACTATGTGTTTTTCAAACTGAGGAGATCAAAGAAAATTTTATTTTTTCCACTCCCTGGGCAATATTTTGAAATATTTTTCCTTTTGGCTAAACCCTTCTTTGTGTCTCTGGAAATATAAATGTCTGAGTAGATTTTTCTGAAAAACGGAGATAGAAGGAACAGAAAGATGTAAACGTGCTGTTCCCAAAGACATTCAAGCTGAGGAAGTCATTGAAATTTAATGGCCATTTACTTACTAATGTTTACCTCTGACAACATTCATCCACCCCCACCTCCTTCAATTGCAAATATCTCAACTTCTATTTAAGATTGATGGATTTTCTTTTTTCACTTGAAGCAAAATAAATGCCAAAATCTTTAGGCTGCTTCCAATAGCTCAATATGCCCTAAAAATTAACGAGCGCCTATTTCTACGTTGTTGAGACACATATATTATGTAATTAAACTTAAACTGAATATGGAAACTTTAGGAAATGAAAATCTTCCTGGAGTCTAAATAGTGATTGCTGAAATTCTTCAGTTTATTTATGAATTTGAAAATAAAATGCATAAGAATAAAGGAGTAGCCATTTCCTTTTTATGATTTGTTCCTAAAATAACGTTTCACTTCTCATTTCACTTTGTCTGTGTTTGGTAAACGTTTTACAGCGCTCACAACTGCATAAGGTCACATGATCGTACCAACATTGTCCAAACTACCCAGAAAAAAGACAAGGACACTCGATAACAATTTCACCATCACAATCATATGTGAAACATGCTGACAAAATGAGTAACTTCTCAAAGTCCACAAATGGAGATATTGGCCAAAAATTGACACCAGGGTTGAATTTGTAGATTTTCTATTGATGCCATATTCTTTAAGTATAACATACCTTTTACGCCATACCTATAAATTGTAAAAACTTCACCTATAAGTGTGATGTATCTATTTCCTATATATTGTAAAAACTTCACCTATAAGTGTGATGTATCTATTTCCTATATATTATTATTGTAAAACCTTCACCTATAAGTGTGATGTATCTATTTCCTATAAATTGTAAAAACTTCACCTATAAGTGTGATGTATCTATTTCCTATATATTGTAAAAACTTCACCTATAAGTGTGATGTATCTATTTCCTATATATTGTAAAAACTTCACCTATAAGTGTGATGTATCTATTTCCTATATATTGTAAAAACTTCACCTATAAGTGTGATGTATCTATTTCCTATAAATTGTAAAAACTTCACCTATAAGTGTGATGTATCTATTTCCTATAAATTGTAAAAACTTCACCTATAAGTGTGATGTATCTATTTCCTATATATTGTAAAAACTTCACCTATAAGTGTGATGTATCTATTTCCTTAATGAAGGCCTGAATCCGAGAAGTAACTCATTTTGTCAGCTCGTTCCACATAATATGATAGTGAAATATATGATAACATATTGGACTGAATGCGTGAAGCGAGCATAAAGCTGGCATTCCATATGCCCGAAAAAACGATGCGAATTTGGGTGCGAATTTCGTGTACGAAATTCGGGTGCGATGAAAAAAGAGCCCTCCTTCCATATACGCGAAATTCACATCCGTCATCTGACTGAAATCATATTCAAGTGCATTTAATTAAGGAGGGGGATGGGTGTAAGTGAAAAGCTATTTTTAGTTATTACATGATTTAAACGATAAATGATAGCATAGATAGATTACATAGACTCCCGAAAGTTTCCCACAAACTAAAAAAAAAAGTGGTTGCTATGCAAATGACAGCCACCTTGAAAATAAACACTTCTTTTCAGTCTTGGTTTTAACACTTCTCTCTTGAACCAAGGAAATCAACATTTCGACGTTTTCCCCACTTATCTAGTGCTTCTATCATGTTCTATGCTGCTTCGTTTCTTTGAAGTAGATTTGGTGGGAAATAAGCCCCGCCCACTTCACGAAGAATTCGCATGCGAAGAAAAAAGTTTCGCTCCCTCGTGCGAAACAAAATCTTTGCATGCGAATTTCGGACTCGGCCATGCGAAATTCCGGTAAGTTCGCATCGGTTTTTCGGGCATATGGAATGTCAGCTTTAAGCGCTTGATGCATGTTGTTATACAAAATATATGCCTTTTTTGTCAACCTGCGTCATTGTTTGAAAGGTTTTTTACAAAGACGTTCGTCCATATTCATCTCAGTGTTACAGATATTTGCCATGCCACTTTTTAGTCCCTAGCCATTTTGCTGTGGCCATCCCTTCTCTGACATGAAGGGATAAATCAAATTAACTTAGGCAATCCAGTTTCTGGAATTTAATTTTGTTATGATACCACTATGACTCGGATTATCCTGGTTCAAATCCCAGAACTGTTTAGTGTAGGGGGGTTTTCAAGGCTCTCCACCAACTTTGCTCAATGACTTCGTAGTGTTGAAAACCACATAATTATCAGAGACCTATTGCGTGTAGTTGAATCAGTTGTTACAGATCTAGCGAGTTATAACCTTCTGCTGTTGACCATTTAAGTTGTCTGTGAATAGAGAGGTCCTAGATTACCCCCCCCCCCCACCCCCTTTCAAAGAAAAATGAACAAATGAATGAATAAACGAACAAATGAACGGATGAATGAATAAATAAATGAATAAATGAATGAATAAATAAATATATAAATGAATAAGTAAATAAATAAAAAAAATTATGTTAAAAACATGAATAAATGAAGATTGAAAAAGCACCCCTCCCCGCCACCCAGGCGATATTTTTGAGCATTTCCTTTACTTCAGAATGGAACACCCGCCTACGGGTCGCTACTTGGAGTGCCGCACCACGGAACCGGGCGTGTCTTTCTACACGTCAGGATACATGCCCCAGATAGCTGGCAAGGCGGGGGCTCAGTACAAACAGTTCTGTGCTTTTTCTCTTGAAGCTCAGCATTTCCCAGACAGTATTCACCATGTAAGTTCGCTACCTTAAAGGGGGGGGCAGGGGGGGGCTACACCCCCAAAGTCAAGATTCGGTTCAAAATAATTGAATTTGAGTTGTAGGCATTTTTAGCTTCCTCAGCCTCTCCTACAACTATTTCATGGCATAAGAACCCCAAAACACTGTATTTTTCCCCATACCGGGCATTTTTGTCACCGTGATTTCCTCATAAAGTCGATATTTGAAAGCCAAGTACCTAGTTTTGAGAAATTTGACGGCAACATTTTTCGTGTTTCACAATGTGGCTACCTTAGAATTACAAAAATCTATCTGCTGGGAATCTAATTTTGAGAAATTGGACGTCAGAGATTGGGAGTTTCACATCATGTCAAGATTTTTTTAATGCAGTCTTTTGAATATCTTGATAACGACACCGAATAATCTTAAGGTTTTGATAGATCAGATAGAACATTTGGTTTCTGACTTCATGGTCTTAGTAACTCAAACTAGCCAAAAATGTCAGATAGAACTTTGTATTTCTGGGGTGGCTACATGTCAAGCTTTTCGAATGCAATTCTTTGGATATCTTGATAACGACACCGAATAATTTTACGATTTTTATAGAGAAAGTAGCACAAAATATTGGTTTCTGACCCCATGGCCTTAGTCACTCAAAACAGCCGAACATGTTAGATAGAAATTTGTAATTCTAAGATAGCAGATTTTTTAAAGGTTTCATTCATTCGTTGTTTCTTTTCTTTTTCAAAAATTCTAGTAAAATCTTTACAACACTTGCATTACATTTGGGTTATAGAAATGTGATTGTTACTGACTAGAGATAAACATACAAAGAAAAAAGGAGCAGAAATAAGGGCAATTGTGTTTTATATAAAAGAAAGAAGGAGCAAATTGCACCAGAGCTCTTGCCAATCACTTACAATGTCTTGTCTGCGCTGTGACTCTGATTATTATATATTATATAAGTTATGGTATAAGTACAACTTTTTGATTCGGGTGGGGAGTTTATAATAAATTATATTATTATTATTATTATTATTATTATTATTATTATTATTATTATTGTTATTATTATTATTATTATTATTATTATTATTATTATTATTATTATTATTATTATTATATCTGTCTCTTTCATCAATGACTGACGATGACCAATACATCTACAGAGGGGAATATAGAAAATTTTGAATAATCAGAGGTTAACATGACTATGGCTTCTCTTGTGGCTGATGAAAAAGTACACACAATGATA